CCGTCCTCCCGCCTCTGCCCCTGCAGTATCCCCCCGCGGCCCTCTGGGTTTCTCTCCGGTCCCTCTGCGTCTCAGCGCTCCCAGTGCCCTCCTTCGCCCAGCCGGCTCCTTCCGGCCCTCTCCTCACCCTCGGCTCTTCCCACCCCCCTGGTCATTCTGTGGACCACGGGCCCTCAGCGCTTCAGCGTTCAGCCACCCTCAGTCCTCTCCCTGCACACCGTCTCGCCGACGCCGCTACGCTCTTCAATGCCGGACCCCAGTCAACCTCGGCTCTTTCCGTCGCCCCTCGGCTCTCTCCGTGCACCCTCGGTCCTCCCGAAGGCTCTCGGCTCTCTCCGTCAAAGCCCGGACGATCTTTCAGCCGCCCTCGGCTCTTTCCGTCGCCCCTCGGGCCTCCGCCCACTCGGTCCTCCAGAGGCCGCTCGGAAGGTCCGGCGAGCGACCGTGAGCCACCTCTGCGGTCCTCGCCGTCCACAGATCCTGTCCGTGCTGTCGGCGGGTGCACCTCTTGGACTCTTGAGAGCCCCTGCTTTTCACTCCTAGTGCACTCCGGGTGTTGGGGGTCTTGCCGCTCGTGGAAGACGCGCTGTGGGTTACTGCGGCTGTGCTTCGGAGCTCCACTGCTCCAGGTCGCGGGACTCGGGCCGAAAGGGTGCGGGACGTACGGACCCGAGGGCAGCAAGAGCGTCGGTGATCACCGCTACCCAGAGTCCGATCGGGCCGTCACCCTCCCGTGACGCCCCAATACCTGATGAGACCCTCTTCCTCCCGGGTGACGCCCCAATGTCTGATCAGACTCCAGGCCATCTCGGGTGACGCCCCAATACCTGATGAGACCCTCCCCCTCCCATGACGCCCCAATATCTGATGAGACCCTCCCCCCGTGACACCCCAATACCTGATGAGACCCTCCCCCTCCCGTGACGGCCCAATACCTGATGAGACCCTCATTCTCCAGGGTGACGCCCCAATGTCTGATCAGACCTCCACGCCATCCCCGGTGACGCCCCAATACCTGATGAGACCCTCCTCCTCCCGGGTGACGCCCCAATGTCTGATCAGACTCCACGCCATCTCGGGTGACGCCCCAATACCTGATGAGACCCTCCCCCCGTGACACCCCAATACCTGATGAGACCCTCCCCTCCCGTGACGCCCCAATATCTGATCAGATCCCCGCCCTCCCCGGTGAAGCCTGGTCACCCCAATATGATCACATTCCGGGGGGGGCTCTGGCAGAGGAGGCACAGGTCCTGTATCTCACAACCCCACTTTCCGCACTAGCCCGGCGCTGAGGGGCGTCCCCTGTGATGACGGAGCGGGGACGGGGCGCGGTGCGGGGGGCGGATGCGCACGACCTCTGGGCCTGCTGGACTCCAGGTGACCCCGGCCCTCGGACCTGGCCCTGGGCACCGATTTGAGGAAGGCCGAGTGGGGAGGGAGGACTCCCCAGTTCCTGAGCCGCTCGGGTCCAGCCCCCTCCCCTTCTGTGCCGTTCGGGATCCGTCCTGGGGTCACTCGGGGGCCCCGTTTCAGGGCAGGAGTTGTGGGGCCCTGCCCTGCCCAGGCCCCCATCTGTCCCCAGCTCCGTCCTCTGTGGCGCAGGTCCTCAGGGCACAGGCGGAGGCGGGGCCGGCAGGGTCCCCAGGGGTGTGCACGCTCGGGGCCATGGGGAGGCACAGCTGTGTCCCCGCGATGACACCG